TGTCTTTCAGTCCACCTCAGTTCTATGGTCTGTATTCCCCCACTCCAGCTGGGTCTTCCTCCTCCTGCTACAGCTAGGAGTGTGCCTCCTGCTCAGACCTGCTGCCCCTCCGTCCCCTAACTAGTGGACCTCTTCTCTTATTTCCATATTCCTCAAGACCTATCACATGCTTCTTTGTGATGGTCTAAGAACTAGGCCCAGCATTTGGTTCTTGTTTCTTCAGTTAGCTTGTAAGATCTTGAATGGAAAAAAAAAAATAAATGTGTTTTCATTGAGCTGTCCTTGTTCTGTGCTGACATACAAAAAAGCACTTAATAAATGATGGAAGTATGAACGAGTCGCCATGGAAATATTCTGCCCTGGGCTGGGAATGTGGCTTTGTGTAGCGTGCTTGCCTAGCATGCATGAAGCCACATAAACAGAAAAAAACAAATGGCACTGTGGCTCAAGTTGTAGAGTGCTAGCCTTGAGCAAAAGAAGCTGAGAGACAGGGCCCAGGCCCTGAGTGCTGAGCTCAAGTCCCAGGACTGGCAAAAAAAAAAAAAAAAACCGCCCAAAGGTTGTCTTTTTGATAATATATTTAACAGCTATTTCAATAATGTGTTTTTAGAATATGTTGAGTTTCTCTTGAGAGCTGGACCCAGGCTCTGAGGCTTTAGAAATTCAGTGAATTAAGGTGTATCCATTTCACATCATTCACTCCTGATTCCTCTTTGACTTTGGGCCAAGTCTAGTCAGAAAATGATTTCCCTTAGTTTAGTGAAGGTGAGTTCTGTCAGTGATGCTGTTCACGCAGTCAAGGCCCAGGGTTTGTCTCCAGTTACTGGGGAAAATTAAAGTGAATATGGGATGTGATTCCAAACCTTCTCATTGAATTCCTGGCCTTATTTCTCATGTGTGCTTTGTGTGTGTGCTTAGCAGTCGTGTATCAGGGAGGGGAGGTGTTCACAGTGAACACAGTTTTTATAAGAAGGATGTAACTATTTTCAAAAGAAAAATATAAATTAAAGAGTAGACAGTTACAGGGATCCTCGAGGGCTTTTTCCATGGTGAGTAGCTGAAGCTCCTACACTTGGCATGCTTGGCAGCACTCGGCCATGGGTGACGGGGAATGTGCTGGTGGACTCTGGGCAAAGTCTTGAGGACTGAGATTTTGATGGGCAATAAGACAGGCTCCTAAATCTGATCTGGGAGCCAGGAGTCTGAGAGTCCCGGAGCAGGGTGAAGTTTGTCCGTAGGCCTTTGGCCTAGGAGTACCGTGGGAGGGGAGGAGGAGCTCCCGCCCGACGGGGGCACAAGCGGTGCCTCCTTACACTCATGTTAAAGTGGACGCCTTCTTCCGGGAGCAGGTGGCTGCAGTCCGAGAAGGGATGTCCTGGATTGTCCCCGTGCCGCTGCTGTCCCTCCTCACAGCGAAGCAGCTCGAGCAGATGGTGTGTGGGATGCCTGAGATCTCCGTGGAGGTCCTGAAGAAGGTGGTGCGGTACCGAGAGGTGGATGAGCAGCACCAGCTGGTGCAGTGGTTCTGGCATACGCTGGAGGAGTTCTCCAATGAGGAGCGCGTGCTCTTCATGCGGTTTGTGTCTGGACGCTCTCGGCTGCCGGCCAACACTGCGGACATCTCTCAGAGGTTCCAAATCATGAAGGTCGATAGGGTAAGTGGGCAGTTTGTCTTTCCTTAGCAACCTCTGCTCTCATTTCTTCCCTGTTGCTGCCATGCTAGAAAAACCAAACCATGATTCCCAGGAAGCCTGCCAGTTCAGGCTTCTATCCTTGGAGTGTCCAGATCTAAGAATCTAGAAGCAAGTAGTAACACTTGCTCAGAACATCCCTCAGCTTTAGTGGGCAAGTCCTACATGGGCACAAAAACCTGCTTAAAATAGGGGAAGGTAGGGCTGGGAATGTGGCTTAGTGCTAGAGTGCTCACTTAGCATGCCTGAAGCCCTGGGTTCCATTCATCAGTACCACATGAACAGGAAAAGCCAGAAATAGCGCTATGGCTCCAGTGGTAGAATGCTAGCCTTGAGCAAAAAGAAGCTCAGAGACAGTGCCCAGCCCCTGATCAGGCTCAAACGCCAGGACTGGCCAAAAGATAAAAAAAAAATAGGGAAAGGGGATGTAAAAAAGTAATACCATGGGGCGAATTTGATGTAAGTACATTTATGCATATATGTAATTGTCATAGGGAAACCCCTTTTTACAATTTACTTGATTTTTTTGGGGTGGGGGGGGTCGGTTGTGGGGCTTGAACTCTGGGCCTGGGCGCTGTCCCTCAGCTCTTCAGCTCAAGGCAAATGCTCTACCACTTGAGCCACAGCGCCACTTCTGGTTTTCTGGTGGTTAATTGGAGATAAGATTCTCACAGACTTTCCTGCCCCAGCTGGCTTTAAACCGTGATCCTCAGATCTCAGCCTCCTGAGTAGCTAGGATTACAGGTGTGAGCCACTGGCACTCAGCTATTTGTTCTGATTTTTAAAAACTTACAAAGAAAAGGGAAAAAATCCTATGTGGATGTGAAAAGCATGCGGCTACCAACAGCCTGCCTTGCGCCTTCAGCGTCTCCCGCTCCGTCCAAGTGTGGCAAAGGGCCCCTCATGCCGCCCTGCTGCTGTGTCTGTGCCTTTCCCTGTGTAACAAGTATGCTGGGGCCCTTGTTTATTTTCCCGAAGACCCTAAGCATCACCTGCTGCGTGTGCTCCCAGACGAACCTGAAGATGCCAGGAGCCACGCTGGGCCCCCCGCCCCTGTGTGTGCTGTGTGCTGAGCGGCAGGTGCTGTCGCTCTGCTTGATGGAAGGTCTCCGCTGCACAGCCTCTGCCCAGTTGCCATTTTGACAGGTGGCTAAAGAATAAAAGGGCTTGGAGTCTGAAGTGCACACTGCTGTCAAGAGTCATTTTTCTCATGCACCCCTCCAACATGTCCTTGACCTCCTTTCATAGCTGCTGGGCCCTGCACTGACTCCTGGACAGACATCTGTGGCCTTGGCTGCCTCTGCCCCACCTCGTGTCACCTGACCACTGTTCCGGCCTTTCTCCCCAGCAGATGGTGCCATTTTTTAACATCTGTGCCTTTGAATGGGTTGCCCCCTCTGCTCTACCTCTGCCTGGCAATCATTTACTTACCCGTTAGCAGAGTGCCAAGGTATCCCCTCCGAGGAGCCCAACTGGACTCTTCTATGCCCACTGCCCATGCCTGCAGATGGGCCTCCTGAACACATAAAGCACCACGGAGCCCAGCACTGTGGCCCCTGTCTCCACAGCACGCTTTCCAAACCCCCTGTGCCCTCAGTGGGCCCATGGTGTTTGGCGAGAATTTGGTAAGGATGTCAAGATCTCTTCTTCCAGTTTGAGCCTTGGCACTTCTGCTGTGTGAACAGGGCCTCCCTCCCCTGCCCGCTTGGGCCCCGGCCACGGAGACAGCGCCTTTGCATAAATGTTCTGCATGACTCGCTCCAAACTATGGAGCGTGAATCTGTTTTGTTACTTCAGAGCGGAGTGTGGAGGAGGAAGCGGCTCCCTTCTGTTCAGCTTTTGAAATACTCTTTGCCTTCAATCTGGCTGCCCATGCCCCTGCTGCCTCAGCTGATCCACCACCACCCTCGGCCTCCTTGAGTTGTCAGGCACAGTAGAACGGCCGCTGAGCTCTTTCCTTTGTGGCTGTTGGGTCATTTCCCCAGTGTCTACATCTCAGTAATCAGAGCCATCTGGTGGCTCGCCTTCCTTGCTGTTTGCTGAGCCGGAGCACCTAACTGACTCTGACATGGCTAGGCTACTAGGCCCCCACTGCTACCATTGTGAGGTGCAGTCTCCCCTTGAGCGTAGGGCGCTGAGGAGAGCTGGTTCCAAGAGGAAACTGAGCAAGAGAGGACAAGGGCTGGAGCTGCAGTCAGTGGTAGAGTGCTCGCCTAGCGCGCACAGCACCCTGGCTCTGACACACAGCTGGGGACGGGGGGGGGGGGGGAGGCACTTTTTTTTTTCTGTTCTTAGTGATGCTTGAATTCAGAGCTTCTGGTAGTTCAGTTCATGTGCTGGGATGTGATTCGCTGCTGCTTCCTCACCTGGGCTGTGACTGGCAGCCGTGGCAGGTGAAGGGTGCAGACTGCACCGGGGAAAGGGGAGGGAGTTCCCCGCAGCACAGCTGCTCGTTTCTCTGCCCGTAAGGGAACCCCAGCATCTGGCTTCCAGTCTGTGCCCTCTTGGTAGGCTGCAACAAACTCACCATTCTTAACTTAGGCTGCACGGATTCCGTCCGGCGGTCAGGAGGAGGTGCTTTCTGCCGTTGGGTAGTGGGAATGGGCACTCCCACCTCCCCTCCTGGCACCCCGACGCCACAGTCACCGCTCTGGGTCTCTCTCTCCACAGCCTTATGACAGTCTGCCTACCTCACAGACCTGCTTCTTCCAGCTGCGGCTGCCCCCGTACTCCAGCCAGCTGGTCATGGCCGAGCGCCTGCGCTACGCCATCAACAACTGCCGCTCGATTGACATGGACAACTACATGCTCCTGAGAAATGTGGACAATGCCGAGGGCTCCGACACTGACTACTGACCCCCGCGGGTGCTGCGCCCTCCCTTTTCTCAATAATGCTCACTTCCAATGTGACGTGATAAGACTTTATGGTAACTACATAGATGTTTTAAGACCTTAAAACCCACATTATAAACAGTGGCCACATTTAGTTACTCTAAATGTAACAAAGGAATTAGATGTTTTTATTTTTCTGTGATTGTACAAAAACAAAACACTGAAACCAAGTGCTCTCAGTCAGGTTTCCCCCCCCCCATATTTTTGGTCACTTTTGATAAGTTTGCATGGAACCATTTTGGTGCATTTTTAGTTGGGAATGATACATTTTTGTAAACTCACCCAGTGAACATGAAATTGTACATTGTGTATAATTGTTCATTAGAAAGGACAGTTTTACATGAATATTCATATATTTATTTTGTTTTAATTTGAGTTGCCTGTGCAGGGTTCCTTATGCAGAGAAATAAAGCAGATTCAGGAATCAGACTGGGGGCTGCCCTTGTTGCTTCCAGGGGAGCTTTGGTCTGGAGGACGTGGCCACAGGGAGGGGAGCAGGAGGAGTAAGCCTCGCTAGCAGGCCAGCCTCACTTTCTCACTGGGATGGCTCCTCTACCCATTCGGAAACCCTCCTTCATGCTGACGGCGGGTTTCGCCTGGAAATGACAACTGCTCCAGGCCTGTGTGGTGAGAGGAGCCCTCTTTTCACGGCCATCATCCTGGCTTTCTCCCCTCACTCCTAGGCCTGGGTCTGAACCCCTGATCTAGCACACTGGTAAGGAACAGAACAACTCCACGAGCCCAGGGCGTGTCGTGCTGACCCTGCCAGGGGGCAGTAGCAAGCCAGGGCTTTGAAGAACAAGGCAGCTTACAACACATCCCCTCTGCCAGGAAGCAGCCGAGTGGGAGGGTACAGAAAAGACAGTTGGCCCCCTGTAGGCACTCGGTGTGCACAGCTGAGTCCGCACTGTTGATGAGTTCACAAAGAGGTGAACTGCTGAGACCAGCGTGGGCTTTTATACCTTTGCATGACGGGTGGTGGGGATCTGAGCAGTATCTGGGAAGAAGGGGTCACAGTTGGTGCTTAAACCCAGCCCCAGAGGCCCTTAGTGGTGAGCTTGTCCATCAGGGGCATGTGTTCTGGGGAGAAGGGCCATCTTGAGAGCATCTGTGAGGCTGTAGTTGCGGGTGAACAGGAGGAACCAGGCCTGGGGCAGTTTTTCTCCTTCACCCTCATTTTATCTGAGTTGCTTCTAGTGGACTCATGGACAAAGTCATGGCTGACAGGGTGCTTGCCTGGGTGCCAGCCAGAGTGTCTTACAGGCAGACACTTTCCACAAAAAAGTAGGTGTCAGTTTTTAGAGTTAAGTAAAAGAAATAGATGGTTTTGCCAGCCAAGTGAATGTGGTGAATGGATCTTGCCAGTGAGAACATGTAGTATGTGTGTGTGTGTGTCTCTGTGTCTGTGTCCGTACATAAAACTGTGACATCTTTGTTTTATTGAAAAATGGTTTCAACTAGAATTGTGTCACAGAGGGAGACCACAGCTTCTGGGTAACAAATGAGTTTGGATAAAGATGAGCCCTTAGTTCTGAGGGCTCTCTGTTGGTTAGTTGGAGATAAGAGTCTCTCAAATTTGTCTCCTCAGGCTGGCTTTGAACCTCAGTCCTTAGATCTCAGCTTCCTAAGTAGCTGGGATTACAGATGTGGTGCCCAGATTTTGTTGGCTCTTCACCTGGTACTTGTGGCTGAACATGGTGACTCACACCTGTAATCCCAGCTACTCAGAAGGTGGGGGCAGGAAGATCAAAAGTTCAAAACAGTCCAGCCAGTGAGACAGTCTGTCCCAATAAAATCAAGGACTTGGAACATGGCTCAAATGGTAGAGCATTTGCCTAGCATGCTCCAGCCCCTGGGTTCAATCTCTGTTACTAACAAAAAAGAAAAAAGCCACTAGTTCTTACAGTTCCTTTTATTCCGATCTTAACACCAATTCTCAGACCATAACACATCACACATGGTATCTGCAGGTTACAAGAGAGCGTTAAAAATAAATGGTTGAGGCTGGGAATGTGGCCTAGTGGTAGAGTTCTTGCCTAGCTTGCATGAAGCCCTGGGTTCGATTCCTCAGTATCACATACACAGAAAAACCAGAAGTGGCGCTGTGGTTCAAGTGGTAGAGTGTTAGCCTTGAGCAAAAGGAGCTCAGGGACAATGCTCAGGCCCTGAGTTCGAGCCCCAGGCAAAAAAACAAAATAAATGGTTGATGTCGGGCTGGGAAGGTGGCTTAGTGGTAGAGCGCTTGCCTTGCACGCATGACACCCTGGGTTTGATTCCTCAGCACCACATAAGCAGAAAAAGCCGGAAGTGGCACTGTGGCTCAAGTGGTAGAGCGCTAACCTTGAGCTGAAGAACTGAGGGACAGCACCCAGGCCCAGAGTTCAGGCCCCACCACCGACCAAAACCAAAACCAAAGGCTGATGTGGCCCAGGCCTTGGGAGTAGAGGGTGGGGGATCATGAAGGGCAAAAGCCAGAGGAGATACAGGTGCAGAGTCACTGCAGGTGGTCTGGATAAGACACCAGTTACAGGGACGGGACCCGGCCACGCGTGCACCAGGGGGCTCCAAGACAGCTCGAGGGTGTGAAGGGACTTGAAAGAACTAGAAGAGCAGAGCAAGAACGCTTAAGGCAGAAATGAATGGTCCTTGGGAAGAAAAGGCAGCAGTGACTGCAGGAAATTGAGGCTGCCTGAGGGCAGGGGGGGGGGGAACGCAAGATATTTTATTGGAGAAGCCTGATAATACCTAGCCCTGGGGGTTAAGAGGATTCCCCCCCACACCCCCGCCCGTGTAAGACTCACATCTGTGGCCAGTTTGTCCTTGGAGACGGCCTGCACCTGGCGGGGGGGGGGGGGGTATTTTCCCCCTGCTTTGTCCACAAGGGAGACGCTCCCGGCTCCCAGCACGCAGCAGGCTTGCCGGGGGTGCGGCGATTGCCCCTGCCAGGCCCGGGCTCCCGCACCGGCCTCCGGCCACGGTGACATGTCCTTTGTATAAGCCGGGCCTCACGTGGGGGGGGGGGCTCGCGACCCCTCCGCCCGGACCTTGGCCCGGCCTCGATGGGTGATCGTGCGATGGGTGGAGACTGTCCAGCTCCACGCAGCTTTTGTCCACGCGAGCCGGATCTGGTGGCGTGGTTGGCGCGGCCCGCGCCGCCCAGGGGAAGGCGGAGCCGGCGGGGCGCAGGCCGGGACCCAG